GAGCCACGTGGCCGACACCTCCTCTACTCCTTCTGGTTGACAATTATTCTTCGTCATCCATGACTGGTGGACTTTTTCACCTGAATTTTCACAAGGAGCCACGTGGCCGACACCTCCTCTACTCCTTCTGGCTGACAATTATTCTTCGTCACCCCTGGTCTGTCACTTTCCGATGCCATTACCCTACAACTATCGAACTGGACATCTTCGTCCGGTTCCTCGAAGTACCGCTACCCGAAAAATCATCCCTCCGTTGCAAGCATTCGACTCGAAGCTGGCCTACAGATTTTATTTCGCGAGAGTCCTGTTTTCGTCTCGTCGCCGTTTATTATTCCCGTGTTAGAGAACGCCGCGCCCAGGAGCAGCGAAACGGCACCGGCTGGAGAATTTCTACGCAAAGGTAAGCCTGCATCGGCATGTTTGTGTGCGTTGTTTCAGCCGCGGCATTGAGAGGAGTCGCCATCCAACGAGGAAGAGTTAGCGCCGCGAGGGCTGCTTTTCCTACAACCGCGGCAGCCTTGGCCCTAGCCAGAAACCCAGGGCCACTCGCAGCTGCGGCCGCGGCTACGGCCCTGCATCCCTTCGCACCTGCGTAAGTAATCACGAGACTAGGTGGACCGAGTCCATTTGACTCCGATCCTGAGGGTAACTCGAACGCTGTGAACTACAGAGTTTTCGTGTCGATGAGATCTCGGGCTGCTGACAGAGTCTCCCAGTTTTTCTGCCACTGTACGCTTTTCGGTTTGAAATACATAGGGTGCAAAGTCGTATAACTTGGCCACGCAATTCGTCTTACGTATGTTTGCTCTTTACGTTCACTTAATTTGTGCTTCACGATATTTTGCATTTACTTGCATGAGTATCTTCGTTACTCTGTTGTTTATCACGACCTCCTTTATAGCTCGGATACCTCGGGATTGCTAAACCCGTACCGTAGATAAAACGTAGCTACAGCCCCTGAGGGCGAAATGAAAGAGTACCACGTTGACTGCCGGACAAATATTCTTGAAAATTTCTACTGAGATTGAATATTATTTACACTATCGGAGACTACGTATAATCAAACATTTATCGTGGTATTTATTATTACAACTTCATCAGTTTCGTTTAAATTGATTTGCTTTGATGCTTGATTTTCAAGCAGTCGAAGAAATTTGTTTAAATTAAACGTTAGGTTTGATCGTTCGAAATATATGTTTGTATAAATATATTGACGTATATATAAATTTATACATGTATAATATTCATGGAAAATTCATTTGGTATATCGAAACTATTATTTACCTTAGTCAAACTTCTTCAATGTATATAGAGGGTTCGATTATTCATGGGATTGACTGTAATGTCCCAGTAAATGTTTCTAATTGCCTTTAACAAAATCACGAGTAAGACTTACAGGAACATACGTGAAAAAAGTGAAGATCATTCGTGCTGGGTCAAATTGTCTCTTATTATTCAGCCGTAACCTTTGATACATAACCAACCCTAGTTTAATACGATTAATTTCTAAAAGAGCTAAATATCTACTTCGATGAAAAGCACCCATACGTGGCAATCGACGTGATACTCGAACGTAAAAATTAAATTGTCCAGGCCAATTTCGACGTTGGTATCGCTGGGGAAACGACTGTCGGCTATGGCACCGCTGTTTTGACCCCTAAAAACGGTGCGTACGTTCCCGGTTCGAGGAAATTTTGGGTAAAAGTCGATCGACAGGCGGCAAAAATTCGGCCAATTTGTCGCCAAGCTCCCGAGGATCATCGAGTGTCATCGAAACCCAGCACCCGTCGAGTTACCCGCTGCGATCAGTTGCACGTGTCACGCTCGTTAGCACGCCTGTCGAAATCACCGCACCCGCATGCACCTATCTAACCTTTGTGCCCGCGCGAACAAGCATGATTCTTTTCCAGAGAAATTCCCTAACCGCTGCGTACATACATCGACGCGAATTGGCGAGTCCTTCGCAACGATTGGTCCCTGATCCACGTAGACGCGATTTAAAAGGCTTCACTTACTCGGTTATTTTCTATATATCCGAGCTTGGAAAATGGAAGCTTTTCGGTAAAAAGTGTGCGAAAAAAAAGGTTTTCGGTTACGGTAATTGTTAGATTCGAGATAAAAATAGTATTAATATTTTACGTTGCCCGTGTAAATTTTAAATGATACAAGAAACAGATCCTTTTAGAAGTTATCCAAATTACCAAGTTTGGTACCTACGTACCTACGTACTGGAATCGCGTTTCACGCGTCTATAAAAGATTCGACATTAATTAAACGATTCCGTCGAGTCGTAGAAAGGACAAAAGTGTCAGAGGAATTTTCGAGCGAAACGATATTTCACGCGTTCGATCGGTCGATGGACGGTGTATCGTTTCGTCGTCGATCAACCGCGAAACTTGATTACTTAGCTATGAAAGTAACGTTCGCTGTGATTCACTGGCGCGGTGACAGGCGACGCGGCCATTTTCCATTCATACCTGACCCCGGTGTCGTGGATCTGGGCACCAATCATAGCGACGTGTTCTTTTCTTTTTTTTTTATTTTTATTTTTATTTTTATTTTTTTTTTGAGAGGGGACGAAGGACCGTGATTTATGTATTTTCGTTGACTTTACTGGGAACGCCAGATAACGAGCAAAGTTAACGAAGAACGACCATGATGGACGAGAAAATTCAAACCTCGTGGAATCGATCACGATCGAGATCTACCGCGAGGGCGTTGAAAAATTAACATCGTCCCAAGGGGAAAAAATTATCGCGACGATGTCGGTTGTAAACAACAATTTTTGTTCCACTCTGCGTGAGTTTTTATTCAATTTCAAACTCGCTTCTCGCTTCTCAGGAAATGGTAAAGTAATCCTTCGGTGAATTTTCTATGAGCTGTTAAAAAATGGGACAGAGAGGAGTTGTTTCTACGGTACAGTTAAACCTGATCCTTCCAAGCTGTATTGTTGGTCGTCGGAACTCGAATCGAGTCTCGAGGCATCGACGAAACGTCGACGTGAACGGAAGGCGAACGATGACAAGGATCGAATTCCATTGCAAATATGGCGAGGAGCACTCCTCGCTTATTGCGCGTTGGCGACTCTTTCGTGCGATGGAATTTCGATTCGATCTCGTCCATCGAGCTTTCAGTCCCAGCCAAACGATTCAGGAAATACAGTCACGGGAACAATTGCTCGCTTTCACGTGCTCCTCGGATTACTAGAAATCGTTCTAGTCTTTGGATAAGTTTCATATATTTATACACTGTCGACATCGTCGTTGAGAAATTGTTGTATGTTCGAGCAGGAATCCAGTCCTAAGAAATCCAGTAACTAAAATTGAATAAATATATAAAGCTTGTTCCGGCAACCCGAGAAGCGTACTTTTTCAACTACAAAACAAGAAGCTCGATGGACACGCGCGGTTGCGGGCATTCAAGTCTCCAACGAATCGTTCCCTTCTCTCTTAAAATACTTTCCTCGATCTTCTTCGTCTTACGCGACAAAGCGACGATTGTCTATTTCTGCGTGAGTGTTTGAGCTCACGATTTTCTTAACAAAATTATTACTATCGTATTCAGCGTCTCCAGAAGAAACGTTCTTGTTCGAGACTTTACTGTCCGCGTAGAAAGTAATTTCAGTGAAAAATTCCGCGAGGCAATTGCGGGTGGATTGGTCGATGCGATTTATATTTGTGATTTTTCTTTTGCAGTGTTTATTACGACCCGTTCCTAGCAGCGCACGCAGCGACGCAGGATCCCAACTACAGGCTGCAGGTGAGACGACGTTTCCCCGACTTTTCCACCGGAAATTGTTCCTCGTGCTCTGTTTCCGACGCCGACGAATGAGTTTTTAATTAAATCGACCAACGCCTCGGGCCTGATTGAAACGTCAGCGCGGTTAATCGATCACCTTTCAGACGCTACCGTTGGATTATCGGGAATTAATTGGTAAACGAACCCACTCGATCGCCGGCCGAGTATCGATTTACCCCGATCACGACGAAAATTGACTAGACAGGGCGGAGGGGCCGAGAAACTAATCGCAACTAATGGGAATCTTCAATTGCAATGTTTCCGAATTTACTAATAGATCGACTCGAAAATGCAACCTTCTGTCAAGTTTTGAGTGAGACGTTCCATAAAGAATGGAGATTTTAATCGTTCGAGGAGCCGATTGAATATTCAAACGTTCAAGAGAAGTCTTTTGTGTGACAAGAAATCGCCAGTGCTACACTTATCTGCTGCAATTATTGAAGTATTTCAAAATATCGCTTTGATTCGATTAAAAGAAATTAACGTTCGTTAGTCTCGAACGATTCGTGTCCTCTCAAAATTTCGCAAGTGTAACAATGAACATTTCGATGAAAAGTAAAAAAAATATCATTTGCTCGTTAAAACTAACGAATATATCGTTGGTATCGCCAAACTGAAACAGCCACGAGACCGCGGTAGTATTTGAAAAACAAATCGACGAATTTCGCACGTCGAAACGTTGAATTGGCTCGTTAAAGACTGTTAAAATACCTATTGTTCGATTGATTTCTACCTGTCGCCGACCGTTAGTTGAAAAGTGAATTAACCGTGGAATAAAAGCTCCCGCTTCTTTGCGTAACAATGACGTATCCAGAAACGGTCCTCGACGCAACGAAAATCTCATTGTTAACCCCTGAAAAGCTCGAGGATCGATAAACGATTTGATTCGCGGCGCTTCGGAGGCGTATCGTCGATCGCCTCTGGTCCTCGACGGGAACAGAGCACGCGGTATTTAAAACAAAAGGAATAATAAAACAAAATGAAAAAAAAATATATATATATATGATAACAAGTGGAAAATAGAACAGAGAGAAATGAAGGCACAGATATACGTATATATATATTGACTAAAGTCTCCAACTGTTCCGGACCCGTTTAGCTGGAATGGCCTCAAGCAACAGCTGACGTTAGTTGACACGTTCTGCCAAGCTTGCACACACACACACACAAAATCGCAGAGAAACCGATAACAATTACGTTCCTATTTCGTAATCCGCGTTCTTTCATCTGTCGTCCCATCTAGCCCCCTGTTCTTCGCCTGCCTCACTCATTTTTCTCTTTCACGATCGACCATGCGCGTTTTCCATCTATTTTCTAAACTGTGCACATGGGGAAGTTGTCAGAATTGGACAGAATTTCGAATCTCGAATAAGGAGTAGAAGATAGACGCGCTTCGATTGGTTGCTTCGAAAGATATCACAAAAAGATTACAAAATTGTTTGACGAGACCGAGCGACTTACGATTTCTTTGTGGGAGAAGGGGATGTTTCTTTCGTGGGGTAGTTGGAGCATTTGGAGCAGGAGAATAAGTACAAGTTTACTTTTTCTTTTTTTTTTCAGTTAACTAATAGAATTGAAACGTGGAAGGTGGTTAAGCGATGAAATTTTTCTAAAATTGTTCCAATGCTCTCGCAATCATAAAAACATTTCTTTTCGTTACCAAAGAAATTTCACCGCCGAATCGATGTAACTAATAAAAGTTTGAGGTCGAAGGTGAATGAAACGATTGAAATTCGTGTCCAATGACGAAATTTTTCTGAAATCGTACCACTGTTGTATTCCAAATTGTACCTTCTGTCGAAGAAACGAGAACGCATTCGAACAACCGTCCAATCGAATGTATCACCCGCGCCGTTGTTTTTACTCGCCGTCTGTTATTCGATTAAAATTTTGCCCATCTCTGAAAGAAACGACGAGAGGGCGTCGACACGCGCGGAAAAATTGTTGGAAAAAAACGTGAACACGCGACACCGGCAACGACAACGCTATCATTTTCGAGCTTTTCCGCGACAGGCCGTTTCACAACGGGATGAAAATTAATTTCGAGCGCGCCGTATTCGTTTCGCGTGTTCCGGCGTTCGAAACGACGCGACACGGCGCTGCACAACGGTCTAGAATTCATTTTCAACGCGAAAGAAATTAATTGACAGGTTTCAATTAGAACCGCAGGAATATAGTCGATAAGTAATTTCTTTAACGGCTCTCTACGACGCGTAATTGGTTTGAACATTCTTTTGAACTGTCGCACTGGGAAATGAACAAGCGATCATGGTTATCGTTTTATTATTTCCGATCGAAAGTCGTCCGTAACAAAATTGAAATTGAAGATGCTTAATATTTGATCGCTAAAGAATTCTCGTAATCAAAGCAATCCAGCTTCGTTTCGAATATATAAATATGTGTTTTAAAAATATTACATCCTACGAGACATTTAATTCCGAATTATAAACCTACGACATTTTTAATTTGTCACTGGAACAGCTTGAAAATAATGACGACAATCGCGCGTCATACAAGAACAGAATATTTTTCTGCGTTCCCGTTCAAAGTCGGTCAATTATCTCTTTTTTGTCGGGCTAAAAATAAATTCTAGCTTACTCTGTGCGCCATCGCGAAAAATCTAGTTCGCCATTGCGGGAATAAAATACGCGAGAAATTTGACGGTGGATTCCAACGAATTTCTCGGCCTTTTTTCTATTTTCGTTTTCATGAAAATTCTCGCGAAGAACTCGCGCACGCGGTGTCTTCTTTCTCGGATCTCTCGGCGCCCCATTCGACGCGTTCGAGCCTTTTAATTAAAATCCTTTCGAGAAATGGCGCAAATTTGATAGAGCCACTGCGCTTTAGAACGTTTCTTCGCGTAGGTAATTAGAAGATAACCGATAATTGGTCGCTCGAACCCGTCGATTGTTCTCAAACGACTGTACAAATTGCAATTTAGTGGTCTTGGTTGATTCGTCGGTGATTTTTCATTGCAAATAGAAATGTCGAGATAAATGCATCGATTCATTCGACTACAGTCGCTACATAGCTAATTGAAATATTAAACCTCTAAAATTTCGGCTGGACATAATTTATGAGAATAAATATAAATAACAGAGAATAAAGCTGCTGAATTTCATTCGCGGTGTTTAACAATTTAATAAATCGACAAAAGAGTCCGACGGTGACGCAAATTGGTTCGAACGTGTTCGAGTAATTCCTGCGCGCTACTCCAGATCGATTTCTCCAAAAACCCCGGTGCACCGGTTTCGCGAGGAACGTTTTATAACTTAATGATTTTACGAGCACGGGAAAGCTTTATGCAAAAATTCCACGGGAGTCACGTTTCCTCCGTCAGAAATTCACTTGGGTGACGCCACGCCTCGGAAAGTTGGCACAATTTTTCCTAAATTTCCAGGAGGAAAAATGGCTTCCCGCGTCCTCTGTTCTCCGTCATATCCAAAGCTGGAAACCCGTCAGAATCAGGATTTTATAAAACGTCCCTCGAGTCCCAGACGTTGCAACCTGTCGCGTCACAAGATCTCGCAGCATGTCGTTGCATTTTGTCGCCTGATTTCTCGCGCTCCTTCATCTTTCTCCGCCTCTTTTCATACTACAACGTTCTCCTTCGAGACTCACGCACGCGAAATCGATTTTACCGCGCGGACACACACGTGATCGTACGAAATTAACGATATTCAGGATAAATGATCAGCGCGACGAAGCAATGGAGGCATATTAAAATTACAGTAGCAGAAATACTAACAAATGTTTTTTACACGACCTTACCATTGGTTAGTGGCTTTTGATTGAAAAATAATAGAGTAACTATTCGTAGATATGTTTGGGTGCATACGAGTGTGGAAATTAAGGGATGGTAATTTCGCTCGAGCTGTTTGTTTTACGTTCGCAATTACTCAGTTGCTATTGAATCTACTGAATTAATTTACAAGATGACCGAGGGATGATTACTCTGTACACTAATTTAGAGAATTCTTCATATATGTTAATTCCTTGAATCAATTGTAATATCGAGGTCTGGAAGTACCTTGGAAACAGAGAATTAAAATTTAAAAAAAAATGACTCATTCGACAACGCGAAGTTGTCGTCCTTCGATTTCCACCCTTGCGTATATCCACCCTGAACTTGTCTGTGAATAATTACCGTATCATTTTTGCATAGAAACTTATTTAAAATACACACGAACGTGGTCGTTTTTAAACGATACCACGCGACGCGAAACACCGATCCTCGGCCCGATTTTGGCCGAATTTCTTTTCAGGTTTGCCGTTTGTGTTTCAGGCTAAAGCGCCCGCCCTGGAGGTAGGAATTTTAAGGGTCCGCCCGTGAATTTTCTTCACCCGTTGTTTGTCTGTTTTTTTTTTTTCACCCTCTCAGCCGTCTTTTCTTCTCCTCTGTCTTCGTTCACCTTGGTTTTTCGTTTTGAACGTCGGTTCAGGAGTGCTCACCGATCGTCGGCCATTCTCAGCCCCTGTTTTCTCCACTTCTGAACATTTTTTCATTTCTATCGAACGAAAAGATTGCTATTCGGTTCGATGTTAGAGAATTTCGTCCATTCAGGCTCGTATCAGCCACTCCCCCCTTGCTTTTCACTTCTGTTCTGCGCTTCCTCCAAAAGTGTTTTTTTTTTTTTTCTTCTTCTAACAGTGTAATGCATGTAGTTTGTAGCATTTGATTTTCTCTTTAGCGTTGTCGTAGTGTATTTCCTTTCTTGGGTACTTCCGTAGAGACTTGATAGTGTGGTATAACGAACGGTCTGTAGATCTCACATGTGGTTGTCTTTGAAATATCGAGAGAATCGATCCCGTGCTTGTACGAAGGAGAATCATTTATTTTAACAAGTAAATATATATCCCCACTGTGGATTCTTGTTCGAAAAACTTACCACTGACTGTATACAAATTCTAACATAGAAAGTCGTTTTCTAAATCGTAAACTGTTTCAACGTAGCCCCAGTAAATAAAGCGCTAATGTAAACGAATTTTAGACGGAACGAACACGACGAAACGAAATGAAATCTCTAATTTAGGTACTTCTTTTAATCCTGACGAACTACGAGACATCGACAAGCAAAGAGTAAACAATTCGGAAAAGTCCCTCTACAGTTCTCGAGCAAGATAAAGATTATTCGCGAGGATCCCGTTGTTTCCGGCTGTTTCATTTTCTCCGTCAAGGTTCGAGTTCCCCGGAAGAAGCGAAAGTTGAAATTGGTGAGCACTCCGCGGGCCCGGCGAGTATCTTAGAAAGAGTTCTTTAGCTAGTTTAGAGTTGCTCCAAGTTCGTCTCCCTTCCCAGAGATTCGCCCCACGGAATTAGTTCTGCCAGCGGCTTGATCGACAAGCGCAACCCTGGAAGCTCCGTGTGACTTTGTTAGATACTTTTCACTCTAGTTGCGATGATATCGCGGCGTCATGTACATACGCGGTCCTAACGATCGCGGCGACTTCTAGACGATTGCTTCGCGATTTCGCGAGAATTTTATCTCCCCCTCCCCCCATGTAGAACCGTTTATTAAGTTGTTGCGTGTGCGTAGGAGGCATGTATCTTGATTAGAGGCTCTAATGAATTTACTCTACGACGAACGTAGAGCTTGTAAATAACAAGTGCCTAACAACGAAAGTCGAATTTCACTGTGGGAGATGGAAGGGGGTCGAGTAAAATTATTATTCTAGCACCCGTTACAATCTCAACTTAAATTAATTCTCGCGGCATAGGAGTAACCAGAAACAACCGAAAAATCTAACAATTACTGTCTAAAAAGTTCGAATAAAATTCCAGCAAAATAGATACAACTCCCTTCGTTGAATTTCACCGTGGGAGATGGAAGAGGATCAACTAAAATTATTATTTTAACACCCGTTACAATCTCAACTTAAATTAATTCTCGTGGCATGCGAGTAACCAGAAACGAACAAAATACAACGATTACTGTCTACAAAATTCGAATAGAATTCCAGCGAAATAGGTACAACTCCGTGTCTTCCACTCCCTCGTTCTGCGCCACGGACCGAAATCGTTCCACCCCGTTCGGCACACATGGGGATCAAGCGTAAACGGAGCATAAACGACGTAGGGCGATCCCTGACGTCGAAAATCTTCCCTGCAGCCCCCCTCCCGTAAAT